TAAGGTGCCATGGCTGTGATGGCCTCATTCCAAGCTACAAGCAAGATTGGAACCCTTGTTAGTTAGGGCAACAACTTACGATCATACCATCTCGTGCTTTGCTTTGCCTCCAACACGATGACTTATAATATCAGTGCAACTATCATCACCTCCTATCGCTTTGTTTTATGCACATGCGCCTTCATTGTAGTGGCAATAGGCCAAAAGAGCTTCTAGATCACTTCAACTCTCATAAATCCACCAAAAAGTTGGTTGTTGACAAATTTTAATGCTATAATTCATCCCACAACCAACAACTCACATGCATCATAGAATGGCAGAAATGTTTGTCAACATTGCACCAAAAACCTAGGTGTTTCTAATCAAGCATGAGTCCAACAAACTATGGAACTACAAGGTATCGCAAGCTGTGAAGATCCTATCACCATAGAATGAGCTATATCTAGTCTGAATCAAAAGCCTCATCAGCCCTACTCATATTTGTCACCATCTCTCAACAAGTCATTAAGATGTTGTCTTTACAACCCTCTATCTTGAGGATAGCACCTCGTGCATCACTGACATTACTGTCATGGTTCTAGGGATGTCATTATGTTGCTAGGGAGGTAGTCCTCATTAACCTCGCCATCGTCACTACTAATAATGCTTGTTCTCACCGTTTTCATGACAAAAGGCATAAACAAAATTAAACCATGAGCAACCACTTGGCAATGCTCCTTAGTTCTTTGTCTGCTTCCTCACTTTAGTTGATGACCCTCCAATCATCGATCAATTTCTCTTTTCTACCAACAATTTAATGCAATCGTTGTAACCACTGCTGCCATGTTGCTCGACTCCCCAACAAAGTGTCCTAACTTTTCCAACCTCAATTTGAGATGTCCTGTGTCCAATAATATGATGATAATTATCGCACCAATACTATTCTATCCTTTCCATACTGGCATCCATTATTGAGATCTTCTAGGTTGTCAAGAGTTGGGAGTGTTTGGTGACACAGAAGAAGTGTGCTTTCTTCCACTAAAAAATCCCTATCAAACATCGTAAAGCAGTCACAAGAAAGGATGAAAATTCATCTTTGTTTAGGAACACATAGCACACAAATGAACAAATAAAGAATCTGCTACATTGGTTCCAGCCTAATGGCAAATTTGTCTTTTGTACGCCGAAGGGTAAATTATTCTTTTATTATTATTCTTGTTAGGTATAAATAGGCTTGTTATGTCTAGGGTTATGTTTATGCATGAGTTTTGATTGTGATGGTTAGGTTTAGGGTTTGAGAGATATTTCCTACCTCTCGAATTGTAGGAATTGGGAGAGATCGTTTACCTTTCAAATTGTGAGTGTTTATCTTAGATATTCATGTTGATTTATTTGGATTATTGAAATAAAATTTGTGCTTTCCTTAATTTTTGTGGAAAAAATTGCCAATTTTGAAGTCAGATCGTATCAAATTTGTATCAGAACTCAAGATTATGGCGATCGGATTAATAGAGGAGAGGATCGATCTACTCGACAAATATGAAGAAAATCAGGTAGGCCCTAGTGCATAGCAGCTAGGAAGCGACGTACAGAGACCCGAAACACCTATTTTTTCTCTTCCTCCCGTGTTGTCTACGCGATACAATCGCAATCAGAGCTATCTGGGAAGGCAGAAACTGGGAAGCGACGTACCGAGACCCGAAACTCACATCTTTCTCGACTACCTCTAACGCACACAGCAACAATGAGATTCAAACTCCCGTGCGTGACCGAACCATTCGATACAATTGCGAGCAGAAATAGCTAGGAAGACCAAAGGGATCGCGGCGCACAAAGCCATCGTTGATTGGAAGGATCGTGGTAAATTCATGACTTCACCTCGTGAAAGAGCACGATCAAAGTAAATGAGAAGAATCACATCGTATAGAGACCCTAAACACCATTCGATACAGTCTCAAGTGGAACCACGCCTTCGTGATTGATCCGACCTAGTAGGAACATGATGTTTACGCCTTCCTGACCGAATCCCATGATTCTAGCGTGTTAGGAAGCATCGACGGGATCGACTGACTTGTGATACATTGGCCATACGAGCTTCGTGAGAAGCCATCGACGAGATTTCAACATTTAGTAGTTTCTCTCACGCGATCTAAAATTTTCCTGGCAAAAATGGCGACCAAGAAAATAAAGGCATGGGAGAAGATGTTTGAGAAAGAGATGAGTCAAATCAGATCGGACTGGAAGAAATGTTTGCCACTATAGAGAATAGATTCTCTTCCATGGAGAACCGACTAGAAGACCAATTTGAAAGCATAAGGGAAATTTAAGAGATGCTAAAGAGGCTTATTGAAATGAAATCCAAGACTCATCAACGGCTCAATTTGAAAAACCTGAAGGAAAAGAGATCAAACTTGAGGAACATAAGGGAAAAAACATCCAGCATCCCTCTTAGGGCTTCGATTGGGGGTGGATTGAAGATTTCTGATGGAGGTGGTTTGGCAGAAACATAAAGAAGATATTATGCAAGAGGTATGGGGGAGCACAAAGAATAAAGAGGAGAAGCAAGAACGGAATATGACTATGGTCGAAAGATGGAGTTTTACCCTCGATAAATGGGTGAAAAACAGTGGAGGGAGAGAAAATTGTGGTGGAGATGCTACGATAAGGAAGTTAAAGATGTTGATCTTTGAGAGGGAAGACACACATGGGTGGGTGTATAGGACGGAGCGATATTTCACGACGAATGGGTTAGAAGCTGACGAGAAACTCGAGCGGCAGGATTGTGTTTGAAGAAGAAAGCCTTAGCCTAGTTTCAATGGAGGGAGGCTAGATACATGATTTGTTCGTGGGATGAATTGAAGAATTGTTTGTTGGAACGTTTTTGAGTCATTCAGGAAGGAAACCTACACGAGCAATACTCATGAAGGGCATAAAGCTCGACATATGAGTAGCACTCTAACAATTAACACAGTGAGGATTGAGGGAGATGATGGAGTTAACCCAGATGGTAGAGTACAAGAACCCGACGAAGAAGGCCAACAGAAGCAACATTGAGGGGGTGTCATACTGAACTACTGCAACCACGACGATGCCAAAAGTTCAAACAGTGAAAGTTTAGAGGGACGCTACACAGAAAAAGAATAATAGGACATGACTAGGAGAGTCATACAGAGAGAGATTATGGAGAAGCGAACTAAGAGATTATATTTTCAATGTGATGAGAAGTTTACTCCAAGACACCGTTGCAAGGATAAAAAATAACAAATTCCCGTAGTGCATGAAGAGGAGGTAGAGCATGAAGGAATAGAGACAGTTGTGGTGGAGGAACACTCACTTTTTCTCATATTGAGGACAATGTGTATTTTTTAGGGGATTATTGTTACAATGGTGCCTAGTCTAAGGGCAAAATTGTCTTTTGTACGTCTAAGGGCAATTTAGTCATTTATTATTATTGTTGTCAGGTATAAATAGGTATAAATAGGCTAGTTATGTCTAGAGTTAGGTTTATGCATGAGATTTTATTGCCACTTTTAGGTTTAGGGTTTGGGAGAGATTTCATACCCCTTAAATTATAGGAATTGGGAAAGATCGCCTATCTCACGAATTGTAGGTGTTTATCTTTTATATTCGTGTTGAATTTGGACTATTGCAATAAAATTCGTGTTTACCCTAATTTCTGTGGGAAAGTATATCCATTTTGAAGTCGGATCATATCAAAACCCCATGTGAAAGAAGACTTTCACAAGACAATTTATTGATAAAAAGAAACCAAGAGAAAGACATACATGGACTTGACTGTAAGCAACCATTTTATAAAGCCAACCAACATCATTCAAATTCCTAGTGAAGATAAATTCTTAGTAGAGTTCAAAAAGGAATCAATTAATCTGTACCAAATAAAAATTGCCCAACAGTTCCCATTCAAGTCACAATTTTTTCAATTGTCATAACAATTGAGCAAAAATTAGTTGAAGTTGATGCTTGAATTGGACCTAAACAAAGAGAAATCATCAACCCTCATTCAAGTTATGATTTTCTACCTTGTTTATGGCTGAGCGATTGTGTACTAAATTCTGAAATAGTAATAACATCAGTTTTATTAGACGGTGAACTCAACTTCTAAAATGCCCCACACATTTCTTCCCAGCTCCACTCTTTTCCATTTTCAAAAATGATAACAGGCTGGTATGATCTAGTGTGCCTTCTTTTTAATAAAAAAATCAAGGAAATGGTAGAATTAAGTGTTATAAATGACAAGGATATAATTGCTCCTAGGTGATTCACAAATCTGTTTCCATTACAATTTTACATTCTTGTCAGAACTATCAAAGCAGATCAAGAACCCCAGACCCCCGGAATCATTTTTTTGCCTGATTCAAATAATTTCATTTGCATTCACACTTAACTGAATTAAAGTGCCAAAATAGTCCCCGGACAATTTACATGGTGACATTTTAATCCCAAAGTCTATAAAATTGCTAAATTAGTTCTCAGACTCTTTTAATATGGAATGAAATGGTCAACCAGGTGTCCTATGTGGACTATTTTAGCCCACATGAAAAAGGTCTGGGACTAAATTGACACTTTTTATAGACTTCGGGACTAAAGTGGACCTTTACAAAGAGTCAAGAAATCATTTTGACACTTTTCTCTGCCTTTTTTTAAGGAACACTTTTCTCTGATTAAGTGCATTTAATATTGAATTCTGTCAGCCAGGCAAGCACAGAAGATAGGGAAAAGTCGTTAATCCAAATTATAATATATAATTCAAATAAGTGTGCAGAAGCCCATGCACAAAAAAGCAATGAACAGCTTTCCCTCCCTCATCTAAATCAGGCTCACAGATCAATTAAAAGAGAATCAGCAGGTTATAATTGAGTTCCAACAGCCAAAAATTCATTTTTCAAACAGAAAGCTTTTATCTTAAAATTTTTTTTTTTCAATGAATACATAGAAAATGAATTGAAAACAATTTACCAATATGACGCTGGGTGTATTGCAATCCAGAAATAATAGCTTAGTTTCTAGAAGAAGAAGGCAAATTTATAATTTACTTAAGCACGCCAACTATAAAGACATCAGGCTACAAATATTTGAGTTTCCTGTGAACTTTAAAGAAATACAGATACATCCACAAAATAAGTCAAGAGAACACAGGTTTTGAAAATGCCAGCATGTTCGAACAAAGAATAATATGGTTCGCACAGAAAAACTGGATATTATATAAACATAAAAGACATTGATCCGGTTACTGCACCTTCTATGAAGCAGATCCGAGCATTTCAACCATGGTGGAAAGACACTACTTAACCTATGGCCCATCTTTGGAGACCATAGCTTCTTCAAAGAACAAGCCTTTCCTCTTGTGGAAGATCTACTATGAGCATTGCCGGAGATCAGCGGATCGGATGGTATTGAGTAATTCCACGTTTGGGAGGTAGCTTCCTCAAAATATAAAGAACCAGAAATGAAGGGAGAATTTCCACCAGCTGAGAAACAAAAATAGAAGTTAGTCATAACATAGTATTGGGATTCAAATATTTTATGTGAAAGAGCTGCCAAAAAAGCGAAAGGATGGACACGTGCGGGGCCCTCAGTGGAGTCCAAATGATGATGTATTAAAAGAAAAATGTTTCTCAAGCCCATTTAGAGAACAATTAACAGTCCTCATATGAGGTGTCAAACTTTTTATTTTCTAATAAAATGTTTATGTTTGCAGTATGCTAGACACTAGATTAAAAAATTAACTATAGTTTTAAGCATAACTGAGGGTGGTGGTCGACAAAAATGGGTCAAGTGTTTAATTTCAAAGGTTAAACATTTCTTGAACAATATAATTTGGTTGTAACTTCGGCAAATGCTGCAGCTTTTATAGATATCAATACTCTTCTTTAACATAATTAACAAGGAGAAAATCAAATGCTAGATATAAAAAATGTGTGTAAACACAAAAAGCAAAGAGATGAAGTACTTTTCACTAAATGAACTAGTTTTGCTAATTTTGAAGTTCCCAGAATAAGTGTTTTAACATAAAAGAGATTATAAAACATTTTTATTAATACCAAAAACAAATTCAAATGCTCAAATTCTTCCATCATGTATTTGCAAAACATTGTTGGAGACATACCAAATAGTAAAATAAGTTCAAAATTGGATGGTCCAGAACATCAATGTCTGCAGCTTTGTCAAATGCATTGAAGCACATCTGGTAAAAAACAAAAAAATTAACAGCTGGTAACCATTCCAGAAAACAAAGAAAAATTTCCATAAAACTTTATAATACAACTCACACTTACCATGATGCATCTAATCAAGAAACAGCTAAAGCATATGGTTGTCACATAGCCGACCTGCGGAGGGTAGCAAAATGAAAGAAATTTTAGAAATAAAGATATTGATGCAAAAGACTTAACCCGTTCAAAACATTAAGATGCTTGAGGAAATACTTCATGCAATTTCTTGCGTCTTCCTTTTGATTCAACAGGAAAGCGCTGCAACATCAAGAAAAGCCTGCAATAAAATAATAAAAAAATGGACAGAATGGAACTAAGCTTAAATCGATGCGAGAAAGTAATGAGACCATAACACAAATGATAGGAATGTTCTTATTACAAAAAGTTAATCACATGCATTTAATGAGGAGTTCATGGTATAAAAGTGTCGCCAAACAATAGTAATTGCTTTTCATTTGATTGAGGTCCCAAAACTAAGCACTAGGAACACCATGTATTACTAGACCACTAATTACAGCACGCCAGGAGAATACTCTAGCCTATTACAAATAAAACAATGCCAGTGACACTAGAATGCTAAGAAAGAGAATGGCAAGGAAACACATGCACAGCTTCCAGAAACAAAAATAAAAAAAACAAAGAAAAACAAAGAAAAAAGTGCACATTATTTTAGAAATAATTAACATTTTTGTAACAAAAAGTTAATCAATAAAAAATCCAAGGCCCAATGGATGTGAAAAACTACAAGTAAAATAGTTCCCGAAAAGTAGTATATTTTTGTAAAGCAAAGACTAACACATTTCAGAACGATCACAACAAACATGAAAAATACTTCTTAAAATGGAGCAAATAATAGAATTAGAGTACTTGTCTTTGAAGACAAGTGCATTAATACTAGGATAAATGACAAGACTTTGACGGAAATGCAAAACAAACATATAAGCAAAGGAATTATATGCGAGTTGAATACTATGCTTGTCTTAATGCATTTTAAGCAAAAATTTGAAAAATACATAAAGCTGAACAGAGACACCAAGAATACAAAGCACTAAGAGAAACAATTCTATGTCAACTGCTTGCAAGCATAGTTACATTATGCTAGCTACATATAAGTATAAATTTCATCTCACCTTCCACCATAAAGAAGGAAACCAAGGGCAGCAAGAAACGAGGCACCTGGTAAGACAACCCGTGCAAAATTATAAAAATAAAAACCATATGTTTGTACTTGCATAAGGAATTAATCCTTCAGAAACAAAATAAAAAAAATAAAAACCTGCAAAAAATATCTTGGACAAGACGATAATAACTTGAATGGGCTTCCACCACATAAGCAGCCAAAGAAACATCTATAAAACAGTTGCAACACAGTCTCTCAATAAAACAAATAAATAAGTCTCATACATATACGGAGTTAGAGGACAAAAAATTGAAAAGGAAAGACTTAATTAACAAAAGAAACAACTAAATACGGGGCAATGGTCAATTAGCTCAGACATCCTCAAGCCTCTTCCTAGAACATTAGAAAATGAGAAATCTGATAATTTGAGCAAGGATAAATCATTAATAGACTAAGGGTGTAAATGAGCCGAACATGAGCGAGCTCAAAGCTTCGTGTTCGGCTCGTTATTATTATTTTTTTGTTCGTGTTCGGCTCGTGTTCGAAATAGCTCACAAATAATTTATTTATATTCGATTCTAATTAGTTCGAAATGAGCTCCAGCGCGGCTCAAATTTCAGCTCAAAATAAAATTTTAAAATTAACATTTTTTTATTTTAAAATATTTTCAGCAAAATGAATTACATTCTACTTCACACGTATGCATGAAGCTGAGAGCTTTTAATTTTCTCACCTTTGTTTTTTAGATTTATACTAGATTAATAGTCGAATTCCACTCAAAATTTCGATGTGGGACTAAATTTTGTAAATTAAAAGTAGTCGGGTCTAATTTTTCGTCGCATTTACATACATAACAACAATTCTTATGTATTTACCTATGCAATACCTCTGCACTACAACACAGCAGCAGGTGAGGCTCGCCAAGGAGTGATTTTTGGGAAAAATGAGAAAAGTCTAAAGAGAATTTAAATACATACCAACCAATTCTTATGTATTTACATATCTAACACTGACTCAATCAGGATTGCAAGCAGGGACAGGATTTTTGGCAAAAAATGTAAAATGTATTTACATATCTAACATCTAAATTTTTTTTGACATTCATACGAACCAAAATATCATATCAAAGATATTATTATTTAAATTTTATATATAATTATTTAATCATTCAACTATTTCGAGCCAAAAAGAGCTGAACACGAACAAACGAGCCTTTGTTTGTGTTCAGCTCATGTATACAACAACAAGTTTTTATCCCCTAAGTGAGGTCGAATTTAAAATTGTTCGGCTCGTTTATAAATAGAGATAAAAAAATTCGTTCGTGTTTGGCTCGCTTGCTTAATGAATAAATCGGTCATGAGCTATCTAACGAGCCGAACACAAACTCTTCGCAAACAATGAGTTTTTTTGACAGCCCTATACAAGATGCCTCCATTATGAGTCTACAACCAAATGTCTAGGTTTGTGTACAATATATGGATAAGTTTTCTTGGATAGAAAATAGTGAAAATCTCTATGTCAGGGCTTTAGCCTTGGATATTAGTTAATTAATGGAGGTGGTTTTAGAGCAATAGGATATGTAAGGATTTCTAATTCTTTTTCTTCTTAGACTGGTAGCAACAAGTAGAAAGCAAAATAAATAATTTCATGGAGGGGGTAGAGCTCTATCTTCGCAAGGGTTGAAATTGTTTGAGATCTTGGGAAGATGTTGGGGAATGATGTATATAAGGTGAAAAGTGACATTTGGAATGAAAATCACAGAAGTCGCCAAGTTAATTAGCTTTTCCCACAAGGAGGAGCCAAAGGCTGCCACAAAGTTTCACCCCAAAGAGAATAATTCTTGAATTTTCGTTTTCAAATACTAAAAACTGATTCACAACAAAAAGAGGAAGATCTACACCAAATTATCATGCCTAAAATCCACACAAAGAAAAATTCAAATTCAAAATATAAACAGAGAAGGGGAATTGGCCACATTAATTGGAGAAATTAAATTTAAGTTATATTCAATACAAAAGCTTAATTTTCCCATGAAAGGTCCCCATTTCCTATGCAATACATAAACTATTACATTCAAAATTAAAAGTTTCAAAACTAGACTTACAAAAATAAATTACATAATTTAAAACTTAAGCATAATATGAGCTTTGATAAGCTAAGCATTCTTCTTTATTGAATTATCTTGGCATAGGCTTAAAATATAATGATTGGTCTTACGGACCTCTATGATAATCATATTGTACTTCACTAACTTGAGCCTTTGATCTTTTGGGGGATATTTGCAAATCATCGTGATGTTTTGCATAAAAATCCTAAAAATTATGTTATGTGGAGGAGACCATCCATCTAACCTTGGAATTGCAACCTCATAGTTTAAAAGATTTACCATTTCTCTTTTTGGTTAAAAATAAGCCAGCTATGCATCAATTGCACTCATCAAACACTTCCCAAAACGCACAGTCTCACACTAGTAGTACCCTCATGTGACATATGAATTTAAATTTTATAATATGTTCTCTACATAAACGAAAGATTGAACAGCTTCCACACAAAATAAATCATCCATGTACATGATTCGAGTATTATGAAGAATGAATTGAAACTTACTGCATTTGAATGGACCTTGAGTTTTTGCAAATTCTAAGAAGCTGCACACTTTAGATCGTTTGTGGGCTGTCTATAAAAACCCCTAGGGGGCATAAAATTTATTAAACAATGAGTACTGAAATAAAAATAGATTAAATATATAACTGCAAAATAAATGAGTAATAAAATAAAATTCTAATTTTTTTTATGATATTCTAATTTACTTTGTTATTGTATGTATATTCTTGGAGTACTTTATTGGGGAAGACAACTACTCTCAAGAGATTATGAATCAATGTGAGACTAGTTCCTCCTTCAAGTGATTTATTCAATGATTTATCCCTGAGATTGAAATTTTGTTTAAATTTTATGTTTGTTTACCATTATAGTTTTTTGTAAAAAATTAAATTTTAGCAATTAAATTACGCTCCAAAATGGAAAAAAAATTGTTATATTTATATTAAAAACGATAATTTTTTGCTAAGAGTTGGTAAACTAAGACCTTTTTTTTTCATATTTTCATTTAACATCTCATCCTAGGTTGCATTACTAATGTTAGATCATTAACATCATATATATCAAATTAATATTAAAGCCTACATTGGTATCAGAATGCTACTCAGAAGTGAGGTAAATTATTAGTGCTAGTCAGCAAATCACCAAGCATGATGTTCTAAATATTTTGGGAAATCAATTGCATGAGTTATTTGTAAAGCAAGATCGATTAATTAATCATCAAAATCAATCAAATAAATGAATTTGACAAACTGGAATAAAATCGAATATGCCCACAAGAATTGGATAAAGAATCTAGCCTTAATAATGAACCTGTTCACCATATCAAAAAGAGACGAAAGTCACATGAAAGAATTAACCAAGATAAACCCCACAAGGAATACCACAAATTAAATTATGATAACCCTATGTGATAATCTTATGATAGTGATGAGGGTAAAACGGAAAATTTAACATCAAAGTTTCAATCTCAAACACAAGATCGACCTAAAAGTAATTTCTGATTGAATATTAGAAATGGATAATTTTCATTCAATAAATGGTGTCAGACAAACAACAAGATTTGCAAAACAAAAACTTACTAGTTAAGCAAGGAAGTTTTGAGTAGGTGTAAAATGACCAATAGAACGATCAAAAGAAAAACTAACAACCATATGGCTTGAAATGAAATTGCTATTAGAAAAAAATATTATCCTATCAAGATCAATTACTAAATAAGTTTAACGCCTTAAAGCAAGGAGTTAATATTCTAAATGACTGCATAAATAATTTTGAAAAACTATTCTTATGTTCACAGATTAAGGAGGACTTGAAAAGAATACATTCTAGGTTCAAGATACTTGACACCTAAATTCAAAATCCAGATGACACTGCATGGCAATGTTTGCTTGAGGAGGGTTTTAGATTTAGAACAATTACAATAAATTTGAACACTTACACAAGTAATTCCTCTTTCAGCTAAAGTGGTCACCCAAGCATTCATCACTGAAGGTAATAACATTAAGCAAAGAGCCAAAAACAATAGTATTCACTATATCAGGGACAAAAATTTCTAAAAAGATTTTAGATGTCAACAAATATTTTAATTTGCAAGTGAATATCCTGATAAAAAATTGAAAATAATTACTGAATAGGAATATAATGAGGATGACGGAGGGAACATGACGATGAATTCAATTAGAAAACAAGTGAGTCTAAAAAATGCTTCAAATGAGAATTCTTTAAATGTCATGTAGTGCATCAATGCTACACCTAAAGTTGAGTATGATTAGAAAAAAATTTGATTGTCAAAGCATGGTTTAAAAAACATGAAAAATATAAGTACGCTTATCATCGACAATTGAAAAAATTGATTTTCAAAGCATGCTTTAAAAAACATGAAAATTTATGTAAGCTTATCATCAACAAGTTAGTCTTTGAACACAAGAAATTAAAATTTGAGCGCTTGGGTAGAAATAGTTGCAAGTTCCATAACTATAACTTGTGCTTTCCATTCAACTTGCTACTTACAATAAAAAGGTATGGTGTGGCATCTTATCCATGGATGTTGCATATGTTATTCTAGGCCAACATTAGTCTTACGATTTGGATGTGATTCGTTTTTTGAATTCAATACTTCTACCTTTAAGATTAATAGAGTGGTCCTGTCAAAATCTACCACGCCTGAAAATCCTTCCGAATAAAAATGAATCAAGCTGACCTAATGAGCAAAATAAACTCCCTACATATTTTGAGCTAAATGTTTGAAAAAAGGGCTGAATTGAGGGAGTCTTTTATGCCTTGATAGCTACTAAATTGAATTGAGATACACTTGAGTTCATATTAATGATTGAAGTTACTGGTCAGCTGCTAACTGACTTAAGAGAATTATATCTTGATGAACTAGCTGACCAATTACCATTGCTTAGGGACATGCCATTGCTTTGATCATTAGATCATCATTACCTAATTTACCAAGTTATAGAATGAATCCTTTTGAATATGCAAAACTAAGAGAAATGTAGATGAATTACAACAGCACTAAACATAATTTTATGCTTCTCTTTTACAAAACAATATCCCGCCTCATAAAGCATTGCAGGTCTCACCACCATCTTCTAAAAATTTTCTTTAAGTATAAGTGATACT